TTATGAAATAAACTCTTAATTTTAATTTGTTTGAAAGTTGTGATTCTTACTGGTTTCAGTAATTCCTGTGTGAAATGTTTCAACAGAAAGGTAATTTACAAATATTAAATTTAATTTTTAAAAATGCTGATTACCAGCAAAACCAGGTTATGATCAATACCTAGTTCAATATATTGAAAGTATTATAAGTTAGTTTTCTTTTATAGTTGTAAATCAAAAGTGTTTGTTCTCAACATTAAAATTGCAAACAGAGTGAAGTTAAACTGAACAATTGGAAACAACTTTTCAACACACTTAAATCAGGTCATTACAGTAGTATTTCTCAATATATATTTGTGTATTGAGTGATAGTATTGTTGCATTGTTTAATATGTGTATTTGATGTTCTAATGATCTTTGTTCTTATGTTTTAATATCTATCTGATGAAGCCCCATTGTTGAGGACAGCTTTTCTCATACAAAGTGGACTGAACCTCATCATTCCTGAAAATATTGCTTGTAGTAAAATCATGCACACAGTACCAGTATAAAGTACTTTTGTAGATTGTTGAGAACTATCACTGCTTGTCAGTACAGTTGTGAACTGGTATATCTAACAGATGACTTCATTTTACTGTGGTTCCTAAGAAACTGTGATATGTATTTATATCTTAATCATTACATAAGACTGAGACTATAGTTCCTTGTTGCTCAGTGCTGTTAATTACAAAAGGAAAGAAAAAGTCTTCTTTATTTTGAAAGTTTGTTTTTCCAAGGGAATGCTTATTAACTGTGTAAAAAAATAAGTAATGGAAAAAAATTAAATATTTTATTTTTATATGTGTGAAGAAATTTTGCTAATACTTTATCAATAAATATTGAATATCAACATGTTTTTTAAATCTAATGAAGAATTTGTGATTTGTACTTTTACACAGAACATTAAAATCAGGGACACAGCAGATAGCCCCCATGTGGCTTTGCTATAAGAAAACACACAGAACACAGAAAATACAATTCAACTATAGATTTATACATGGCAATTATATAATTTCAAGAATTCATGTGAAATATGAGAGGTCTCTTAAAACATCCTGTTTCTTATTAAAATCAGTAATGTATGTAACTTGGATTTGTCACAAATGTATAGTATACTGCCATTTTCTTCTCAAGAACAGAAACATTTTAGTAGGTTAATTATGATGGAAATGTATATAAAAAAAAAATCTAAATTAGCAACAAAACGGAGAAACTCGTATGTTATTTATGGTCTTCATTTGGTTAACTAGAATTGATGTGAGCTAAAAACATTTGTTGCATTTTTATTGTACATATTTCTATTGTGATGATTTTTTTTAAATAAGTTGAATATGTAGTAAAATATTTAGGCTGATGAATAAACCAAATATTGCAAAATTATTCTTGATAAGATTGTTTTCCAAATGTATAAATCACAAAAACAAGACAACCCTTTGGAGAGTACAAGATTAAGTTCATTATTTTTCAAAAGTCTCCCTTTCCTTTGCTCTACAAGCTTCCAAAGTTATGAAAGGTAATGTGATAAACCACAACTTCTGTATAGATAAACTTCAAAAGTATCATATAAAAAGTTAACCACACTTTATAAAATTGATTTTTATTACGATATGCAGTGGCATGTTACCTTAGATGCAAGTCCTGGGACCTTTTTTGCATCAGTGTAGTTGGTTCATTGGGAATTCCCAATCATTCAATAGTGCTATGCCACCAAGAGTAGACTTGTGGCTGGAAGAATATACATAATAGCCTATTCCAAGGAAAATGTTTATATAATGAGATTATTGAACAGTTTAGACAAAAAAAGACATAAAATTTCAAAGAAGAGAGCCTTCACCATTCTCCATAGATAAATGACATAGCAGAGCATTTATGGCATTAACGAGCTCAAAACTGCACTTAAGCCAGCCTGGAGTAATGCTCGCATTCACAAAGTGAAGGCTGTGGTTTCAATAGAGCACCCTTTGACTCAAAAAGTCATTGTGATGAACTTATTTCTCCAATACCATTAATAAGATAATGAACAAGGATTTCAAGTTAACAATAATTCATAATCGTCCACTGTAATCAGTGGACGTTTTCTTGAGTAGGATGGTTGATGAAACTGCCATTATAGCAAGCCCATTCGACCTTTGAAGTCCTCTGATGCAACTCCAATGAGCTTTTGTATCTTTGGTTTGTGGAAAGTATTGTTGCGTCAGCGAGGTCACGTGACTAGTGTCACGCCACTCGTTCTCTCGAACCTTCGGAAATTGTCGGGAGATTACTAGATATAGGGTAGTCTGGTATATATAAGAGGGTGACAACATGACGGGATAATATGTAGTAGGT